ATCACAATGATAGCTGTGATAGCAGTGAAATCGGTGAAAACAGTGATCACGATTTTCCTAGTGATCATTGGTGATATGAGTTGGCGCAGTCATTTAGTTGCGCAAACGGATTATCACTAACAAAGATTTTTAGGTTCTTTACTAAATAGTAATAGAAAAATTAAACTTGAGCTAATACATCAATTAATGTTTGATATTTAAATCGATAGTATTATAAGTTCTAGTAATATTAAGGTAAAAGGGCTTAAATTGCTAAACAATTAGCTTTTAATTGATTTTTTTCAGATATAGACAAATTTTCTTTTAATGAAATCCATCAATTTTAGATAAATTTACAAAATATTAAGAAATCAAATATTATTGGTAGTGAACTATTTTCCAATGAATTTCTTAAACTATTATCCAATAATATAATTATTTTAAGCAAAATGCTTGATTTAATAGTTGAATACTAAAATATGACTTATACTATGTTTGATTTTAGAAAGCGATTCGATAAGGATTTGAAAAATAATATAATGATTTAAGTCAAAATGAATCAATTTAGAAGATGCTAAATTAGTTCTGAAATCTTTAGATCGTTAATATCTTTGCAACATATAAAAAATTTATATATTTTGGCCAAATTTATTACAAATGATAGTACAGTCGATTATTATTCTGGCTAAGTCTAATATTATTTTACACATAAGCTCAATTTGCTATCCAGATAGGCTGAACATTTTATAGCATTTGTTTATTAGTATAAATCTGTAAGTTTTCCAAATATGCGATATTATTTTAATGAGAAATATTATAATATCAAATTATAGGATACTGAATTTTATCTAGAAAGTCATAATTGTATAATACCAGTTCATCATATTTTGAGTCAATTTGTATCAATTAACTATCAAATTTCAGTCTGATGAAATGCAAAAGAATATTTGGCTATTAATCTAATTAATAAAAAATAACATTTTTGAAAATAAATTGAATGTTTTTAGCATTATTTGGCTGTTAATCCTAAATATCAGTTATATTTCCTTCTGAATTTTATTTTATTTTGAAATATTTTAGCTGATTTTTGATGTATACCAACAAATGTAATCAGATGTTAATCAGCTATAAATAAGATAGTTTGAATTTTAGCTGATTCTTAGCTAATTTCTAATGTATGCCAATAGGATGTAAATCAGCTATAAATAAGATAGATCGAATTTTAGCTAATTTTGATGTATATTAATTAGATGTAATCAGACGTCAATCAGCTATAAATAAGATATATTAAATTTTAGCTAATTTTTAACATATGCTAATTGGCAATAAGTATGCCAATTGGCTATAAATAAGATAGGCCAAATTTTAGCCAATTCTTAGCTAATATCTAGTGTATACCAATCATCTAGACTGATTTTTTGATAATTTGCTAAATTTAAGCTGAATTTAAGCTGATTTTTTGCATATCTAATTTTTTTAATTTTAACCAGTGATAGATACTTGTTAAAATCTTCTCAAAATTATTATTTCATATTTTTTTTATATTTTTAATATATTTTTAACAGTTTTAGCTTTTATTATATTAAAATAATTTTATTATATTCCTTATTATAATTTTAATATTATTAGTTGATAATTAATAAAATAAAATTATAATATTATTTATACTTATTAGGATGATTTTATTTTCTAATTTAAAAATATTATTAAATAAGTAATTATAAATTTAGAATTTTAAAAAGTAGAATTAAAATTTTATGAGTAAGATCTTTAAAATAGATTAATTAATAATTTAATTAATAAAATAGTTAGAAAGATAGTAATATTATATTAATTTTTAATAGATTTAGTTATTAATAAATTAAATATAATATTATTAATTAAATAAAATAATATTAATGATAAAAATATAGTAAATAATTATTTTAAAAGGGAAAATCGAATTGGCGACCCCGATCACCATGGCGACCCCTGATTAACCAATCAAATTTAAGCATTAAGTAATATGTTCAACCAATTAAATTTATCGTTTTGCGAGTCACGAGAAATTTCTCGTGTAATGCGTTACATTTGTATTGCGAGTCACGAGAATTTTGATCGTGTAACGCGTTTACGTTCGTATTGCGAGTCACGAGAATTTTGATCGTGTAATGCGTTTACGTTCGTATTGCGAGTCACGAGAATTTTGATCGTGTAATGCGTTTACGTTCGTATTGCGAGTCACGAGAATTTTGATCGTGTAACGCATTACGTTTGTATTGCGAGTCACAGAAATTTTCGTGTAACGCGTTTACGTTCGTATTGCGAGTCACAGAAATTTTTCGTGTCACTCCTTTACGAAATTTTTCATCAATTTCACATGTTGTATGTGCCAGAAGATGCTAATTTCAGCCTGTAACACGAAATTTCGTATAATAGCCTAAACGTCCAGCTTTTTTCGGCTTTGGCTTCTTTTAAGTCCAAAAGAATAGGTAATTTGGTGGGGGCAGTATTTTATTTGGGTTTATGGTGGAGAGAGACATATATTACCTTCTTATAATAATTGAACGTTTTTTGCAATGTAAAAATTCTATTTGGTAGCTTTTTTAGTTTCTTTTTTGACATCACTTTTTTCGACTTTGGCTTCTTTTGAGTCCTAAAGAATAGGTAATTTGGTGTGACAGTATTTTTATTTGGGTTCATGGTGGAGGACTTGGGTTCATGATGGAAGACATATATTACCTTCTTATAATAATTGAACGTTTTTTGCTTCAATGTAAAAATTCTATTTGGTAGCTTTTTTAGTTTCTTTTTTGACATCACTTTTTTCGACTTTGGCTTCTTTTGAG